ATAGATATCCATCAGATTGTCGCTGTGAGTCCTATATGGAAAGCATTTGTCCCACAATAGGTATGTCCATATCCTTGGAGGCTCAGCGCAAGCTAATTAACAGCAATTAGTGTTTGTAACGGGTAATTATATTACAGTTAATTATCCTGTTACCAGATACTGATTATTTAATATAGGGGTGTGCTCAACATCTGCTGCCAATGAGGGATGATTACACATTATCGAGGGTCACGTGCCATCAAATTCTGGAACGAACAGATGAGCTATGAAGAAATGAACTATGTGCCACAGAAGGTTAATAAGGTTTGATCCAGCATACGATGAAGTTCTCGAATACAGCAAGACGTGTGTGGACTTCATTGCACCTCTGCTGCATGTGTGTGTGTGTAAGTAGGTGCGTGTGTGCATGGGTGTTGACATTGACGTTATCTTTGTGAATGATGGGGTTCATAACTTCTAACCTGTTTTCCTTATCTGATGAATCATCATCCAGCAGCAACCCTCTGAGCAATTACACCGTGCAGAGAAAATGCACTGCACCAGGTTTGGATGTAGCCTACTATTTGTGTCTACATATAGTTAAAATTACAAAAAATAACTATATAATTGTCATGGCACTGTTATAAATACATAATATATATACATATACACATCCCTGACAGAACCAAATAACTAGCCGAATATGTATACATGTATATATTTATAAAATATAATAATAATACATGTTATATAGAGAGACAGAGAGACAGATAGATAGATAGATAGATAGACCACAGACAGACAGACAGACCGACAGACAGACAGACAGACAGATAGATAGATAGATAGATAGATAAACCACAGATAGATAGAAAGATAGATAGATAGATAGATCAAAGTCAGACAGACAGATAGATAGATAGATAGACAGACAGACAGACAGACAGACAGATAGATAGATAGATAGATAGATAGATAGATAGACCACAGACAGACAGACAGACAGACAGATAGATAGATAGATAGATAGACGACAGAGACAGACAGATAGATGATAGATAGATAGATAGATCGATAAACCACAGACCGACAGATAGATATAGATAGATAGATAGATAGATCAAAGACAGACAGACAGACAGACAGATAGATAGATAGATAGATAGATAGATAAACCACAGACCGACATAGATATAGATAGATAGATAGATAGATAGATCAAAGACAGACAGACAGACAGACAGATAGATAGACAGATAGATAGATAGATAGATAGATAGATAAACAAAC